TCTGTTCCCCTTCCCCCAATTCCCCAGCGCTGTTCCCATCCCCCAATTCCTCAATAAAAATTAAAAAAAATAAAGAAAGAAAGAAAACAAATGAAAAGGTATATCCCGTTTGGGCAAAGGAAGGCTTAGTATAATTTTTAAAGTCAAGTCTCCCTAAATTAACCTGTAAGTGAATTTTTCTGAACTCGTAAGGCTCAACATCAGATAAGCTGATTCTATGGAAAAATATTTGTATGATAAATATCAGGGAAATTCTGAAAAAGAACAGTAACAAAGGAGGACAAAACCGGCCAGCAAGTAAAACTGCAGTTTTGAGCGCAGCTCTGGTTCATGGACAGCCCAGAAAAGGCCAATACAGCTGGGAATTTCATCTCTGATGAAGGTAGCTGAGTAGCGTCATTATTCCATTTTAGCAGCCTGTAAAAATAAAAGTAATCCCTAGTACTCCTTCACCAAAATGAATACCAAATGGGTCTGAGTCAAATTAGAAAAATAAAAGGAAAAAAGCACTGAAAGAAAACGATTTAAGACTGTTGAAGACTATCAGAGTAGGGAAGGCTTCATACAGTCAAAAGGCAAATGACAGAGAAAAAGTGTTTGTGACACAAATGACAAAAGAATCATTTTCTCACTATACAAAGATCTATAAATTCACAAGAAAGAGCCCAGGACATCCCTAAAGTGCATTTGGGGCTCTAAACAAAAGGAGGAGAAGGACACCGAACCCCACTGTAACCTGGGAGACCTGACTCAGTAAGCAACAGCGTGAAAGAGGCCAGAGTTTTCATTTACATCCCTTTATGCCTTTTGAAATGTGTACCTGAAAAGTAAGGCAGCTAACAATTTTATAAAACGCTACAATGTGCAGAATCTACAACAGAACCAGAGCAGAAAGGCCTTCCTGACATGCAGGAGGGTCTCAGAAAGCACAACCTCAAATGGGAACCATGTTGAAAGGGAAGGCCGCAACTAAGTTATTTCCCTGTCAGCCTCTTGTAAAACTGTAAGCGAAAGCACAAAGGCTCCAATGAGCTTCTTACTCCAACGACCCAGAGAAGAGTGTGTGGGATGCCAGGCACCCTCTATGCTCTTGGTCAGAACAAAATTCAGAATTCAACGTTTTTGTTTGTCCCTCAGTAACCAAATTTAAACCAACTATCCTTAATGGGGCCATTTTACATCAAGTTTTAACTTAAAACTGCTTAGCTGGGCCTCATTTTCTTATCTGTATAATGAGGATAAAAACAGGACTTTCTGACAGGGTTGTTGTAAAGACTAACTTACTCTGCCCAGAAGCACTTAGAGCAAGGCCTGACAGACAACACACATCCTGGAGGGAGGATTGTGACACAGGGAAGGACACAGAATTTGCAGGCTCCTTCATGAACAGCGCTGCAGGAGCCACAGCTCCCCTCCCACCCTTGCCCTAAATGTCTGCACTTGTCCCCACAACACCTGGTCCATGAGGATGGGTGTCTGCTGGACAGGCAGGCTGCATGATCTCAGGAAGCCAAGCCGCCCTGGCTGCAGTCTGAACTCCCTGCAAAGCCTACAGAGTAAACACATCTGGAGATGTGGGCTGTCCCAATTTATACATACCGTAACAAGCACACAGTTTTCTCCATAAAATGAAATCGAGTATACTAAAAGTTTTGTGACCTCAGCTTCGCAATCAGCACCCCTCAGAAAATTACAGATTAGTACCAACTGCAGACTCATGGTGTCACTCATAAACAGAACTGCAAATATCAAATCTTCACTAAAGCCGCTTTCTACAAGGATGCAATTTAGGTCCTGTTGGCTCACAGAAGGGCAGAGCAGCCCAGCCCTGCCCACGTCTGCAAAGTGGTGAGCTTGAATGCCAAATGCACCGCCACTTTTTAAAGGGCCTGGGAGCAACCCCGCAAAGGCTCAGCCACTTGCCTGCTGCTGGCAGCCCTCCTGCCTCACCCTTTCCTGACGAGTTGGGCAGGAATGTGTGGGACCTTGACCTTCTGGGTGAATCAGCCAGGCCTTCAGAGGGACCGGCCCGCGTTTATTCTATTCATGAGCTCAAAGTACTGGGTACTTCTGGCCCCTGCTCCCAAACCTAGAAAGACGGCGGGTAGGTGGAAAGCGCCCGGCCCGGCTGGAGTCAGCCCCAGCCTGCTCCTGTCTGCAGAGCCGGGCAGTGCGTGGCCGGCCCCGGCCTCGCCATCCGCCCGCAGGCCCCGCGGCTGCGCGAGGCCGGTGGGAAGCGCAAGATGCACAACTTCAACCGCGGGCGCACCCGCCGGGTCGAAGGCTCTCGAGCGGCGGGCAGCAGCCAAAGGAGGGCTTTTCCCGCTACGGCAATGACCTTGGGACTAGTCTTCCTCCTCCGGGCAGTGTGGCTGGAATCCTGTCATTCCCAGCTCTCACGACTAAATTTCCAAAACAAAAAGTCACCAGAATGAATCGGTGGTTTCATGTTGCAAGTAAGGGTTTTAAAAGAAATGGCAAACTCTCTCGTGTCCCATCATTTCCTAGAGGCAAGAGCCTTTTCACACCGAGACGGGGTGATGTCACCACAGGGCCAGCCCCGCAGGCCCGCGGCCCCAGGAGCCCGGCGGGCGGGGGCGCGCGGGGCCCCCCGCTCTCGCTGCCGACACCCGGGCGGCCCCGCCGCGGCCCCGCTCGCGCGGCCCGAGCGCCGCACTCACCCGGGCGACGCCATGAGCGCGGCGAGGTCTCGGCGCTGCCGCCGCCTCCGCTTCCTCCGCGCTGCGCGGCTCGGGGAGGGGCCTCGCGCCGGCCGCCCGCTGCCCGCCGGGCGCTCCGGGAGGGCGGGGAAGGGACCGGGGAGGGGGGGCCCGGGTCGGCCGGACAAGGGGCATGAGTGAGCCCGGAGCCGGGCGGGGTGCGGCCGGGCCTCGGCCTCGAGCGGCCTGCGGGCGGAGGGGCCCGGCCCGCGACCCGCCCACCTGCCCAGGTGCCCGCGGGCCGGTCGCCGGGAGGAGCCTCCGGTGCCCGACCGGCCGAGAACCTGCCCCCGGGCCGCGAGGCAGCGGCAGGACCGGGTGAAGCCTACGCCTCCCGCGATCTGAGTTTAATTTCCGTAAGAAAAGCCTTTCCTTTAGCCCGGGAGTTCAGGGAGTTGTTATTAAGCAAAACAATAACGTCTTTTCTTATTGCGGCGGCGTCTGCACGGCTGCCGGCCCCTCTGAGCCAGTCGCCCCTTGTAAATGTGTGTGAAACCACCCCGCGAGGCCCTGAGGACCGTGGGCACTTTCAGTCTTTGCACGTGTTATTCAGCAACAATGAGCCTGGAATTCCTGCAGCGGGCTCCCACCGACCACCGGCCCTTCGGCCTCAGCTCCCTTCTCAGCGAACGCGTTTTCAAAAATCAGAGAGCTCTTGCAAGTGGAAACGCTTCACCAGAAGCTGGGGACATTGCTGGTCACATCCCTGTGTTATGGTAAATATTGTCGGTAACCACTTTATTCTTGACTACTATTGTAGTAAGAACAAGAGATAGCAAAGAAGTGACTGAAACCGTGGCTCTGTAGCCAGAATACCTGGGTTGAACTCTAGCACCTGGGGCAAGATAGAACCTCCCCAGGGCTACAGTTTCCTCATTTGAAAAATGGGAATAATAGGTCCCTTCCTCTCTGTATTGAATGAGTTAGTAATTTTTCAATGAGTTAATATTTTTAAATTGACTGATACATGCCTGGTACACGGTTTTTTTCGCTTCCTGTGAACCTCTCCAATGTCTGGAGCCTGTGCCCATCAGTAAAACGGAGGCTCACAATCGCTGCCTTGAGTTCGGAAGATAATCAGTGCTTTGTAAATGTGAGCTGACACGTAAAGTCACAGGGGCTTTTGAGGATTTATAACCACAGTAGGTTATGAATCCAGGGTTAGGAAGAGTTTTGGGGAGTGGGCAACTGCTAAAAGGTTTGGTCGAAGACAGTAATCATTAACATTGGAATGAGGCAGGTCACATAGTTTTTTAAAAGAAACTGTTGGTTTTAAGATATATTTTTAAATCACATAACTTCACTGACATTAAATATTCTTCAATGAGTTTTCAGTGCGTCTGTGGCATTTCACTGAGTGGTGAACGATTGTATGTTTTAACCAACCCCTGCTGTTGGACATAAATATTGCTGTTAGTATTTAATTGTTATAAAGACTGTGGACAATAAATATCCATCTAGGCCAAACTTCCCATACATATCATAACTATTTCCTTAAGACAAGTTTTTAAGAGTTGCATTTCTAGGTCAGATATCAGTATTTTAGGTCTTTTCAGATATATAGAATCTCTGTATATATACACATATACAAATACATATATACTGGTATACATGTGTATGTACATATATATAACACTGACATATGTATATACACACATGTATACGCACACATGCAGATTGCTCTCCCAGCAGTCACCAATACTGATGATAGTGCCAGTTTCCCAAAACCCTCTAGAAATTTCACATTTTTATTTCATTGCCAATTTTATAGTTTAAAAAAACAGTATTTGGCAAATTGCAGACTATGAGTTCCAAGCTCTCATTTCTCCACAGACACATGAAGAAAATAACTGGAAGCTATCAGAACTAATTTAGTAGGGCTCTGAAAAACAGTCAAAGGTTTACAGCAACCAGGCAAACACTCAAGCAAGAAAAAGCCAGGCAGGGAAGTTTTGTGGTAACTTTTACTTAACAGCCCTTCCCCAGTGTGGTCGTTAGTGGTCCCGTTCTTGAGCAGGTCCCCACATCCCATCTCTTAGAACTAGAGGGAGCAGGCAGACCTTATCTGTGTACTGTCTGACCTATAAGACATACCGTATTTGCCGGCGTATAAGACGATTTTTTGGCCCTGAAAAATATGCCTCCAAGTGGGGGGTCGTCTTATACGCCAGGTACACTTCAGATAGACTGCCCATAGTGCTTGCCCCGTGCCATAGTGGCCTCCCGATGCCTGCCCACTTCATTCCACATACCGTTCAGGCATCAGCAGCGCTGCTGGGTGTATGCTTGGCTGTTATGCGATTCTGCCACACTCGCAAAATCGCACACAGCCAACCATACACCCAGTATGATAGCGCAAAATCGCGAATCGCAATTTATGTATATGTTTGATTACATACAGCCTTGTGACAGTTTTCCTGCATGTCATAAGCATTTGAATATAAATATAAATGTTGAAATCAAATCTGATATTGTTTTACCTTTTATTTGGTGTGTGGAAGGTGTGCGGAAGAGGGGGTAGTCTTATACGGCGAGTATATAACAAACTCTGTATTTTGAGTGGAAATGTTAGGGGGTCGTCTTATACGCCCAGTCGTCTTATACGCCGGCAAATACGGTAATAAAGGGAGCTCTTCAGATTGAAAAGGAAAGCCGCCAGACAGCATCTCACAGTAGCGTGAAGATGTCAAGATCTCCGATAAAGATAAGTACAGGGGCAAGTATAAAAACTGGTGTTATTTTAATTTTGGTAGCAACTGGATCCACTATTCATTTTGAGCAGGACTTAATTACAAATGCATAGCATTAATTATAAATTTATGTTTCTGGGCACAAAATGTATAAAGCTGTAATCTGTGATGTTAGTAACATGAAGGAGAAACAACTGTTATCGCAGCAGAGCTTTTCTATGCAGTTCAAAGTTGGTATCATTCAAATTAGATTGTTCTACCTTTAGGATATTGTATGGGTTCCCATGATAAGCACAAAGAAAGCACAAAGAATATACATAAAAAGTTATACACGGAAGGGAATCAAAACACATCATTACATAACATCAACTGAACAGAAAAGAAGGCCGTAATAGGAGACAAAAAAAGCTAGAAGACATTCCCCCCCCCCCCAGATTTAGCTGTCTTATTATGAATGGCACCACCTAGCAGAGCAGGCAGCTCATGCTCAAAAGCCTGGATCCAGGGTTCTGTGTGGGGGCTTTTTAGGCTTTAGGGGGAAGAGGTGTGCGGAAGTGCTGGCAAGGCAAGTTTTAATTGGAGGAACTTGGAGCTTGGCTGTTTATGGTAAGGGGATTCAGCACCGGATCTTCATGGACAGCAGACCCTCCGCTTCTGAAAGGATTCCTGAGCTCAAGTTCTGGGCATATCTGGTCCTTTGGTTCCCTGAATGTGGGGGGCATGACTTTGGTTCTGATTGTAGCTGGCAAGAATTTTTTTTTTATTTTTTAAAGATTTTTATTGGGGAATTGGGGGATGGGAACAGAGAAGTTGCTGTCCTTTTGTTCTTCAGTCTAGTTGTGGAGGACGTTGCTTCACTGGCCCAAGTTGGCACCATCATTGCGCTCTTTCCGGGCGGGCAAGGCAGATCAGTCGCCGGCTTCTGGACGGCCACTCGCGGCGGCTGCTGGCCGCTCATGCTGGCTGGTGTCTACACACGGTAGCCCATGGCAGCCCACTGCAGCAGGAGCTGCAGCCTACGCTGTCACTGGCGACTCACAGCAGTCCAGCTTCAGGTTGAGCTGTCGTTCAGCATCTTAGCTGTAGAGGGCAGTGCCACTGGCCCTCATATGTGGGATCCGAACCAGGGCCCTCTGACGTCCCAAGCCAGCTCTTAACCAACACGCCACTCAGCTGGCCCAAGATATTTTTAAAAATATAAAAATGGCAGTAAGTTCCTTCTTATCATTAATTAAACTTTAAATGTAAATAGATTAAAATGTCCAATCACAAGGCAGAGATTGGAAGAATGATTTTTTTAAATGGCCCAAATATATACAGCCTAAAGGGACTCACTTTAGAGCTAAAGACAGAAATAGTTTGTAAGTAAACGATGGGAAAAAGATATTCCATGCAAAATAGTAACCCAAAGAAAGCTGGATAGGCTATACTAATATCAGACAAAATAGACTGTAGGTGAAACAAAACTGTAACGAGATAAAGAAAATCATTATATATTGAAAAAAAGGTCAATTCGGGCCAGCCACGTGGCATGTTGATTAAGAGTGGCTTGGGATGCCAGCTCTGAGCAGCAGAGCTGGAATACAAGGATGGTTCAACATATGAAAATCAATCAGTGTAGTATATCACATTAATACAATGAAGGAAAAAAGTATCTCCCACAAGCTACTTCTTTAAAAAGAATTTTTTTCCAAGTTTACAGTGGAGAAACCTGACAAACATCAACAGAGTGATTTAACCAGTCATACTTATCAATGTCATGCACCCTCTGACATGATGCACTGAGAGGGCACAGCATCACTTTCATAATAGTCTTCTGTAAATGCATAACTTTAATCTCATCAATCAGAAAACCCAAATTGAGGGACAACCTCTCTACAAAATAACTTGCCCACTGTCTTCAAAATTATCAAGGTCATCAAAGACAAATAATAAGGAACTAAGATTGCAGGAGGCCAAAGTGACAGGATGAACAAATGCAACATGGGACCCTAAATTGGACCCTCAACCAGAAAAAGTACATTAGTTGGACAATTAGTGAAATCTGAATAAAGTCTGTAAATAATAGTATTGTATAGGTGTTTTCTGAATTAGATAACTGAATTAGTTATGTAATATGCTAATGTTAGAGAAAGCTAAATAAAGGGTATACAAGAACTCTGTGTATTGTTCTATTTTAAAGAGCTTTACAGACAAAATTTTCCCATTAGTAATCACTCCCCATTCCCCACTTCCTTACCCCTAGGTGACCACTAAACTACTTTCTGTCTTAATAGAGTTGCTTATTCTGGATATTTCATATAAATGGAGTCATACACTACGTGGCCTTTTGTGACTGCTTCTTTCACTCAGCATGTTTTCAAGGTTCACCCATTGTTATACGACTATGGTGAATTGTGCCCCCCCAAAGATTTTGAAGTGCTAACCCCCAGTACCTATGACTGTGACTTTAAAGTGGGTCTTTGGAGATGTGAAGCTAACACGGGTTATCAGGGTGGCCCTAATCCAGTATGACTGAGTCCTTATAAAACGGGGAAATTTGGACACAGAGATGCACATAAAGGGAGGATGGTGTCAAGACACAGGAAGTACAGTATCTACAAGCCAAGGAAAGCCTGAGGCTACCAGGAGCTAGAAGAGGCCCTGGAAAAGATTCTCCCTCACAGCACTTAGAAAGAACCAACCCTGTCAATACCTTGATTTCAGACTTCTAGCCTCCAAAACGGAGACCATAAATTACTGTTAAGCCATCCAGTTTGTGACAGCCCGAGCAATCTAATATATCCATGTTGTAGCATGTATCAGTACTTCATTCCTTTTTTTTTTTTTTTTAAGATTTTATTGGGGAATCGGGGGAGGGGAACAGCATTGGGGAATCAGGGAAGGGGAAGACAAGTTGCTGTCCTTTTGTTCTTCAGTCTAGTTGTGGAGGACATTGCTTCACTGGCCCATGTTGGTATTATCGTGCGCTCTTCCCAACTGAGGCAGTCGCTAGCTGGCCACTGGACAGCTGCTCATGGCAGCTCACACCCACTGCCAGTCAGCCCCACTGCAGCCTACGCTTCACCGGAGACTCACGGCAGCCCAGCTCCAGGTCGAGCTGTTGTTCACCATCTTGGCTGTAGAGGGCACAGCGTCACTGGACCTCATGTGGGATCTGAACCGGGGCCCTGCTGCTCAGAGCTGGCGTCCCAAGCCAACTCCTAACCAACGTGCCACTCGGCCGGCCCCTTCATTCCTTCTTATTGCCAAAAATATTCCAGTGTGGATATTATCACATTTTGTTTATCCATTCAACATTGGGGTTGTTTTGACCTTTCTGCTAGTATAAATAATACTGCTATAAACACATGTATACAAGTTTCTGTGTGCACATGTTCTAATTTCTCTTGGGTATATAAGAATGGAATTCCTAAGTCATATAATTGTTTCACTTTTTAAGGAAATTCCAAAACTGTTTTCAAAAGTAGCTGTACCATTTTACATATCCACCAGTTAAAGTGTTAGGGTTCCAACTTCTCCACATCCTCACCAACACGTGTTATCGTCTGTCCTTTAGAGTATAGCCATCCTAGAGGATGTGAAGTGGTATCTCATTGTGGCTTTAATTTGCATTTTCCTAATAACTAAGAATGTTGAGCTTTCTTGTTTTATGTGCTTAATGGTCATTTCTATATCTTCTTTGAAGAAATTTCTACTGAAATCCTTTGCCCAGTTTTTAATACCTTGTGTTTTTTAGAGTTGTTAAGAGTTCCTTTATATATTCTGGATACTGAACCCTTATCAAATATATAATTTGCATATATTTTCTCCCATTCTGTGGATTGTCTTTTTGCTTCCTTGATGATGCTGTTTAAAACACAAAAGTTTGGGCCGGCGTGTTGGTTAAGAGTTGGCTTGGGATGCCAGTCTAAGCACCAGGGCCTCGGTTCGGATCCCACATGAGGACCAGTGGCACTGCCCTCTACAGCTGAGATGGTGAACAACAGCTCAACTTGGAGCTGGGCTGCCGTGAGTCACCGGCGACGGCTAGGCTGCAGTGGGGCTGGCCAGCAGTGGGCATGAGCTTTTGTGAACCACCGTGAGAGGCCATCCAATGGGGCAGGTGAGCAACTGCCTCACCCGGGAAGAGCAGAATAATAGCAACATGGGCCAGTGAAGTGGTGTCCTTCACAACTAGACTGAAGAACAAAAGGACAGCAATTTGTTGTTCCCTTCCCCCAATTCCTCAATAAAAAATATTGAAAAGGGCCAGCCGAGTGGCGCGATGGTTAAGAACTGGCTTGGGACACCAGAGGACCCCGGTTTGGATCCCACATATGAGGGCCAGTGACACTGCCCTCCACAGCTAAGATGCTGAACAACAGCTCGACCTGGAGCTGGGCTGCCGTGAGTCGCCAGCTACGGCGTAGGCTGCAGCCCCTACGGCAGTGGGTTGCCATGGGCTACCGTGTGTAGCCAGCAGCCAGCGTGAGCGGCCAGCAGCCGCCGTGAGTGGCCGTCCAGAAGCCGGTGACTGATCTGTCTCGCCCGGGAAGAGTACAATGATGGTGCCAACTTGGGCCAGTGAAGCAACGTCCTCCACAACTAGACTGAAGAACAAAACGACAGCAACTTGTCTGTTCCCCTTCCCCCAATTCCCCAGCACTGTTCCCATCGCCCCAATTCCCCAATTAAAAAAAAAATCTTAAAAAAAAAGGTATAGAAGACTATGCACTAATCTACTAACAGGAAATAGAAATGAAATTCTCATTTGCTATTCAACACAATTTTTTTCCTTTTCCTGGATTACACAGTATGCAAATTCTGAGGAAATTTTGGATTTTAACATCATTAGTAAACTCGCTATCCAGAGATAACCATTGTATTTGAGGTTTATATTCTTACAGGAATACATAAACATTTAGAAAAATTTAGGATCATTTGTGCTGTGGGAGAGAGCCATGTAAACAGTGTGGGGATGGGTGACTCACGGAATAATAGTGGTTATGCTTGAACCAGCTTTGAAAGGTGAGTGATGGTTCTGCTTTAAGGGAAAGAGAAGGCTTTCGGGACAGAGGGCATTCAGAAATAAAGGAATGTATTTGGGGCAGTGCTGGAAACCGCTTATGGTGAGCCAGGAAGGACAATGCTGGATTCTGAAGGGCCTTAGATGACCATGGATGTGACCCTTGTAGGCGATAAGGCATCCTTGCAGAGTGTTGGGCAAGAATGCATCGTGATGAGATTTACATTTTAGAGGGTTTATGAAGTTGTGTGCAAGACAGATAAGAGGAATGAGAGAATGGAAGCCAGGGGCTTGGCTGGGGGGACCATGGAAATGTCTGTACTGCATTTTATATTTGAGTACACACATATAAGTGACCATATGTCCTGCTTTGCCAGACACAGCCCTCATTACATCTTTGGTCCGAGAGTAATTATATTGGAACCCCTTTCACTCTCAAAAGCGTCTAAGTTTGGAGGATAAATATGGCCTACACACATAAGCACACACAATAGAACTTTAACAATCTTTACTATGTGAGACGCACTGGTATTTTGCATTCTATCTTATTTTTTTTAATATTGGTTGCAACCCATTGAACTTACTTCATGACACACTCATTGCTCCTAACCCAGTTTGAAAACTCAGACCTAGATGCCTGCCAGGTCTTGGGGAAAGGGGAAGGGGACAGGCCAGCAAGGTTGGAGATGCTCAGGTTAGGGCCGCGGTTTCCAGCCTTGGCAGCGCATGGAAATCCCCTGAAGCCTGACTGCAGATGCACCTCTCCAGGACCACTGCACGCACAGCTGTGCTATGTGCCTGTCTGTGGGGCAGCTAACATGTCTGACGTCACACACACGAGTGTTTATACTTACACACAAATTCACAGCAGAGTTGAGAACCACTACTTTCAGGAGTACGTGACAGCCGGGCAGGGAACCCAGGCGGCGGGGACAGAGCTCGACCGCGGCACCTCCTCGGTGCCCGACGAGTCGCTGTTGAACCAGCGCCCACCTCCCCGCCGGCTTCCCTCGCTGACCTGCTCCGCTCGCCGGCGCAGGGACGCACCCAGCGCGGGACGCCGGCCCCACAGTACCCCGCGGCGCGCGTGCGCAGGCCGCCCCCGTCCCCAGCAGCGGGGAAAGGGTGGTGCTGAAGCGGACCTAGAAGGTAACGAGCCCGCCTGCCCTCGGGCTCCTTGCGAGTGCGTCGATTAGCAAGCGGGGTCGTCGCAGCCGCTAACTGAACGACTGCTGAGGCCGAGCGCAGCGACACCAGCCAGGACGGAGGCGGAAGCACCGCCGGCGCAGCCTCAAAGGGGCGCGGCTCGCTGCTGGCGTCACGTAGACTTGCGTCCTGCGGGGGCGGGGCGGTGTCACGTGGGGTTGCGTCCTACAGGGCGGGGCTGGCGGGCGGGGTCGTCCGGGCGGGGCTACGCGGGCTGGCGGGCCCCTTCCCAGCGGCTGCTGCTGCGACGTGCGTTCTGCGTCGCCTTGGTGCCTGTACCGAGTCGCCGAGGCCGCGGGGCGGCGCCAGCCTCCTGAGGAAGGAGGGCCTGCCCCAATGAGGTGTCTGTCTGGAGGGCAGGGCAGAAGAGTCGAAGTTGGTGCTGGGTCCTCCGGGGTGACGGGGAACTCTGCAGGTGGAGAAAAGGAACTAGGACCCTCTGGGCCTTGGTGCGAGGAGAGGGTATCGGGGGCTTTAGCCACCTCTGCTTTTTTTCTTCCAGGTCCAACAGGCTAGCGAGAGAGTGGTGACAGAAATGCTACGTAAGTGCCTCGGAAGTTTTATGGGAGACGTCGTCCAGGAGAAGCTAGCGTGCTAGAGAAGCCCTCCATGACCCTCTGAGCTGCTGGCTGAGCCGCTCACAAACCGCGAACAAACTCTGGTCTCCCACTCTTTCCAACCTCAGCATATTGGTGCCACTCTCAGCCACGTGGTTTGGACAATATCACATCATTGATGCCAAATCGGTAGTCGCTGTTAGGATCTGCAGGCTTCGTAGCTACACTGGAATGGCTTTCTCCACCCCACTCACTGCTGGTCTCTTGGGGGTACAGGGCACTGTATGCCTAGCCTGCTGGGCCTCACTCAAGGTGGTGCTGGGCCTCACTCGCCATGGCACCCACACAGGGGCCTCAGCCTGGCCCCTCGCTTCTTGAAGCTGAGTGACCAGGGCAGAGCGGCCAGAATGCACACGGCCCAGGCCTAGCAGCTCTCAGCTGAACGGTATGTCAACGCTGAGAGAGCCTGCAGCAGCTTACTCAGGTGCTCAGGAATGGGCAGGTTTCTGTTTCTGACATTCAAAGTCTTAAGTGTCAGGGAGGTGCTAGTGGGACAGGTTTCAAGCACTCCTGGCCTGAGGTCTGTCCCTGGCATCCAAAGGGAGGCAGAGCAGAAGCCTCAAGGTCAGCATGGGCCCCTAGTCTCCCACCCTGCCAGCCCCTCCCTCCTGGACCTCTTCTCACCGATCACCCTTCTGCCCTGGCATTGCTAGGTAAGGGCTGGGCCTGGATTAGATCTAGTCATGGATGCTGGTCCCCTGAGGAATGGAGGACATGGCTGCCAGCACCCCGTGAGGGTAGCTGTGCTCCCTTGCCTGCTGTCGTTTGACGAGAGGAGAAAGGACCCATTGTTCTCCCTGGCCAGTCTGCTGGTTTCGTTGTTGCCACCACCCAGGTTTCTCCCTGTTGATCGATTTTATTAATAAAATCACAAAGCCGGGCCAGCCGAGTGGCACGTTGGTTAAGAGTTGGCTTGGGATGCCAGCTCCGAGCAGCAGGACCCTGGTTCAGATCCCACATGAGGGCCAGTGACACTGTGCTCTACAGCTAAGATGGTGAACAACAGCTCGACCAGGAGCTGGGCTGCCGTGAGTCACCAGTGACCGCATAGGCTACACCCATGCTGCAGTGGGCTGCCATAAGCTACCGTGAATGGCCGGCAGCCTGTGTGAGCTGCCAAGAGCCGCTGTGAGCTGCCATCTAGAGGCCAGCGACTAATCTGCCTCATTCAGGAAGAGCGCAATGATAATACCAACATGGGCCAGTGAAGCGACATCCTCCACAACTAGACCTAAGAACAAAAGGACAGCAACTTGTCTGTTCCCCTCCCCCGATTCCCCAACACTATTCCCCTCCCCCAATTCCCTAATAAAATCTTAAAAAAGAAAATAAAATGACAAAGCCATAAAGAATCTGCAAAACCTATCAGACCAGATAGCAGATTCTTAATTTTCTTTAAAATGTTTCCTTCACTCCCCACCATGTCTCCCAGACCCCCACTTGCCACTCTTGGAAGTTGACCATTTCTGCATTTAGTGTCAAAGGCCCAGCAGTACAGGCTCGGAGTCACCCTGACCCAGGAGGGATTGACAACCTGTCAACATCTTTGGGTTAAAATGTCAGTAAAGTTATAGTGACACTGTAAATATCGCCCTGTCTGTGACTCCGGACCTTTGAACCTATGGGGGTGCTGCAGGCCCCTGGCAGCAGGAAGCAAGCCTGAGGCTTCAGGCAAAACCTGAGGAGACAGTATCATGGCAAGAGCTGTGTGAGCAGCAAGAGTGCAGCCTAGCCTCTGTGAACTGTTAGTGTGGCAGAAACAAGTGCCCCTCCTCCTGGGAGCCACCTAGAACTGACTTATGGCTGCCCCTCCAAGCCCAGCCCTAGAGGGCTGGAGACCTACCTGCAGGCCTGCATCCCAGACCAGGGTCAGGGCTGCAGCCCTCCCACCTCCCTCCCACTGACTGACTGTTAAAATCATGTTCAAATCATAACATGGACTCAACTACAAAGGTGTGTTTGTTTTAAATGTCTCAAGATGTGAAGTATTTGTTTACTGCATTCTACTTACCATGCAGCATAAATAAGATTTCTTTTTAGGGCAGGAAAAGCAATAATTATATTTCTCTTAACTGTTGTCATGTGGCCACATGTGGCTGGAGCAGAGAGACGTAATCCTGGTGGTTTTAAGAAAGTGATTTTTCACCTAATTGACACTTCTGTTGATGAAGATTTTGAATAGGTACCTTTCTTACTGATTGCTATGATCTGAATGACTGTGACTCCCGCCCACATTTCCTATGTTTGAATCTTAACCCCCAAGGTGATAATATTAGGAGGTGGGGCCTTTGGGAAGTGACTAGGTCATAAAGGTGGAGCCTCATGAATAGCATCTGCGCGCTTATAAGAGAGACACCAGAGAGCTCCCTTGCCCCTCCACCATGTGAGGACACAGCAAAAAGATGGCCACCTGTAAAGTCAGAAGCAGGCCTCACCAGACACAGAATCTACTGGTGCCATGATCTTGGACTTCCAGCCTCTAGGACAATGAGAAATTTCTGTTGTTTATAAGCCGCCCGCTGTGGTGCTTTGTTACAGCAGCCTGAACAGACTGAAGCACTGGTCTTGCTGTTCTTGTCAGACAGTTCTTTTTCTTAATGCTGTTGGTTCCTTCTACACTGTGGACTCCAGAGGGAGTCTATCAGCAAAATCTTCCCTCCACACTTGGACCCAGATGTATTGAGGACATGGTCAACTGCCCTCAGAATGTAGAGGACACTGACATTCAGGGCCCTGGTTTTGTGCCCTGCACCTGCCATCTGACCTACCAGGAGAACATCAAGAAGTAGAGCAGATCTGAGTGTACCCCCATGCAAGTAAAGAGGCTGTGTGAATGGCAGAGAAGTTAGGGAGGAGAGAGAGGAGTCCTAGGAATGGCCTCTGCAGACATCTCTCAAACTGAGGAACAGCCAACCAAAAAGAGCAGGACGCTGACAGGAAACAGGGTCAAAAGCAGGGGGGAGGGGGCACGGGGCAGCCAGAAGGCTCTTGTCAATCACTGTCCTCTTTCTTGAAAGCTCCCAAGAGATTCTGTCACACCTAGAATTAAACCCCAAAGTCCTTCCCCTGACCCACAGGGTCCCACAGGATCCAGCCTCCGCCCATGGCTCCTTCCCTCTCCTTCTCCCTGTGCTCCCACCTCAGAGCCCCAACACATCTTGTTCCCTCTGCCTGGAGCACTTCTGCCCAATCTTCAACAGCGGCCCCTGCTCCCATATTCACTCTCTGCTCCAGGGTTACCCCCCTCAGAAAGGCCTTCCCTAGCTTGTAAAGCTGACATAGGCTCCCACAGACTAGAACAGGGAGCGGAATCCTAGTGTCCCCAACTTCCCACCAGGGACCTCCTCCTCGCAGCCTTCTTTCGGTGGAGCCTGGGTCTCCCTGCCGCTCCCTCATCCGTGTGCACGAGCCTGGTCACCACACTGACCTCATCTACTTCCAGAACAGAGACCAGACTCTGGCCTGTACAGCCTGATTCAGGCAAGGCAGGTCTTCCCCAAGTTGACTAAATGCTGAAAAGACCTCCTAGACTTCTTAAGGGTCCAGGGACCCCAGGCTGGGGACTGGCAGCCAAGTGGGTGGAGAAAACTGGTAACTTTTGATAGCTGTTTAAATAGGAACGTCCCCCAAGACAGAAGAGAAAACAAAAGGGGGGGCCAAAGAGAAGGCAGAACAGTAAGGGTGTCTGAGGCTGTGCTCCTGCCCTCACGGAGTGCTGGTCGCCAAAGTCTCCATCCCTCGGGGGACCAGCAACAGAGTGTGGACGGCGGAGGGACTGGGGTTCTGTATTTTAGGAAGGTGGGAGTTCTCCAGCGCAGGAAAGGAACCTGTGAGCGGCCAGGGCCCCTGGCCCCCACTTTCCCTCCGGGGCGTCCTGGCCCGCAGGTACATTAGCGCAGAAAGGAACCGGCCTCCCCGCACGGCGGGTGGGAGCGGCCCTTGCTTCAACCGGCCGGGCCTGCGGGGAGCCACAGGGGAAGGCAGGTGAGGCCGAGGAGGCACAGCAGCCTCTGAGGTCGGTGTGTGTCGGTGTGACCGTCAGCCTTCGTGTGTATCCATGTCGTCGTTCACACTCCTTTCATTCATAGGTCAAACTCCTGTGGAGTCCCACGTGGAGGGAGACGCATTGACCGTGAGGAGCGTCAGAAGACAAGACGCACAGCGCTCCGTGGAGCGGCCGACGGCGGCGTTGGGCACCCCCTGCCCACAAAGCGAGCCGTCAGCCCAGCCCGACCCCGCTCACCACGGCCCCGCTCACACCGCTTCCGCTTCCGGCCTTTGGGGCGGGGTTTCCGGCCTTTGGGGCGGGGCTTCCTGCCGCCGGGGGCGGGGCGGGCCCGGAAGCGGCAGCAGCGGCGCGGGGACCGAGGAGCTGGCCATGGCTGCGAACCTGAGCCGGAACGGGCCGGCGCTGCAGGAGGCCTACGTGCGGGTGGTCACCGAGAAGTCCCCGACCGACTGGTGGGCGCCGAGGCGGGCCGGGCCGGGCCGAGGGCGGGGGAGGCCAGGGGGCGCGGCCGGAGGCGAGCTCCCCACACCTGCGCCGCATCCCGGGAGCTGCTGTCCCCACCCTTGTCACCCCTCACCCCGCCGTGCGTGAGTCCCCGGGCCCTCCGCACCCCGCCGGCCGCCGGCCGAGGTCCGTGGGACTCCGTGTTGGGCTCCGTGCCTGGCTGCGCTTGGTGGCCGCGCCGGCTTCTCCTTTTCTGCCCGGGGACCTCACAAGCTCCCTGAGAAAGAGGAAGCCGCGCCCGGCGTCTCGTAAACGCCGCGTGCGGGGATGGGCCTCTGAGAGCGGCCTGGCCGCCGGGCTGGCGCGGGGAGGCTTGCCCCGTAGGCGCCAAACAAGGAACTCGGGGGGTTGGGCCCTTGGTTCTCTGTGAATGTGGATTTCAGAACCTCCTCTTCTCCAAGAACGCCCCTGCCTTTGCCTGAGCCGCGGGGAGATGACTGGAACAACAGTGCTGGCTCCCCTCTTCCTTCCGCTTTCCCATATCGCCCTCCGCCAGGCTGTCAGCGTCAGGTCTCCGGGGGTTGATGGGTCTGTAACACTGGAAACCAGGATCTGCAAGCTCTGGAGTGGCCCTGGGCAGCCATACAGTCAGCACGCACTGGGAGCTGTGTAGGGTGATTCTCGGTCACCGCCCCGTTTGCTTAGTTTTCACTGACTGGTTTTGAGCATTTCCAGTTCTGAGAAATGCTGAGTCTGGTGGACTAAGATGACCGGCTTTTGGGAGCAGGGCCCACTGGGTGTGGCTGCTACTGGGACTGGTCTCCACTTGTCAGGCGCTGCTGCTCCCCATCTCTGCTTTCGCCGGTGCCCGGTACGGACTGGCTTCCACACTGTGCTGCTGGGACACTAAGGACGTCGTAGCCTTTCCTGCCCATCAGCCCCAGGCCTTTTGGGGAAGAGCTGCCTGGGGCCGAGGGGATGTGGACGCCCTGCGTGGAACGTGTGCACAGTTTTGCAGGGGAGCTGAGCTGCACAGTTTCTGTGTTGAAAGCATCTCTTCTAATTAGCGAAAGGTGTCTAGTAACTAGTACTGTTTCTTTGCCTTCTGTTCTTCATAATCCCTTAGGAAGTTCACCCACGTGTCCAGGCACCGTTATTTCCATCAGTAGAGTTGGGAGATGCCAGCCCCTACCTTCTGTCTCCTGTTCTCAGAGGACCTTAGACCTCTGCTCGTATTTCAAACCCTGGTGAAAGTACCTCCATCCTGAGTGCCCCGTTCTCACACCCACATGAGGCCACCTGCTTTGGAACCCAGAAGCATCTTTGCCCCTCTGCAGTCCTGCCCAGTTAGGGGTCTGCATCTTTACGTGTAATCCTTTCTGACTTACCTAGAAGACGCCTGGGCGTACTAGTGGGCCTTCCTTCCGTGCCTCTCTGTCCTCAGTCTTCTCAGGGGCCGTCACTGGTTTGGGGATGATGGACTTCAGGCCTCCCTTGGGCTTCTAACCAGAGCTGCCTGCTACCACCCAGGTCTTCAGCTGACCTGACCATCCCCTCTCTGTCCCTCAGGGTGCCGAGCCTCCTCACCCACCCCCCGGGCTCCCGTAGCACTTGGGGGCTGAACCATTCAGCAGCTTGAAACCCTGGCCTCTGTCCTCGTTGTCACCAGATACTGTGTGGCAGGTCCCTACTCATTGGCTGAAATGTATCTAAACCATGTCACTTTCCTGCTTATAACTGCAGGGGCTTCGGTTGCACCTTACATAAAGCCCAGACTCCTCGCCCCGGCTGACACCCTGCAGCCCGGCTCCTGACCTCCACTCCTGCCACCCTCCCGTTTACCACTCTGGCCACAGCTGCTTACCACCACTGTGACCTCTTCCTCACCTTGCAAGCTGCTTCCTCAGAGGCCTTGAACTTGCTGCTTCCTCTGCCTGGAGCGCCCTTCCACCTCTTCCCAGGGTGCTCCCCAAACCTGTCCTCAGCCCCACAGCTGCCCTCTTGGGGGGGCCTTTCTTAATTCCCAGCTCCCTGTTTGGCTTCCTCCAGACCCACGTCAGATAGCCTCACTTGTCACCTTTCTCTCTTTACAGGAAGGGGTGGGGTAGGCACTGTCCCTGTCCCCAGTACAGACTGTGATGCATGGTAGGTGCTCAGGTGAAGGATGGACTCAGGGTGCAAAAGGAGGTAGAGGCTATCGGAGCAGGAATGGGGTCTGTGGTGCCGGATGTCATAAAAGAGTTCACATGCAGAGTGAGTGGCACTGGGCAGGGCTCAGAGGACGGGTGGGGTGGGCAGCAGCCACAGCGTCCACTCTGGATCCTGTTGTTTCTTTTGGTTCCTCCAGTTCTTCCTCTCCATGTGGTAGTGGTAGCATGTTTGTCTGCTTCCTGCTCCAGCACCTGACAGCATGCCCGTGTTGGCGTGTGTGCTTCTTTGCGTCTCGCGTGAGGAAGTCGCATTGGCAGGGTCTTTTGAGGATGATTCGTAGTTACAGTCCCCCGGCTGGCAGCAACTGGTTCTCAGCACGTGACTTTGGAAGGAATGACCAAGTTATACGGTGCTCAGCACCCAAGCCCCTGGTGCTCTGCAAAGTGCTCAGTTTCTTTCCATGTTGATTTGAAAGAAGGGTAGAACTGGATTGAATGTGGGAATGAGCCTCGGAACTAGGAACACCCGAGAGTGTGGCTGAGACTGGACCCAGGGTGAAGGGGCAGGAAGTCAGAGGGGTAGGTGGCGGGTACAGAGTTTGGCTCTTACTAGCTGCTGCAGTCCTTCGTGGAAGACCTGGGCCGACTGGCCGTCTCTGTCCCCTGCTGCTTGTCCAGGAGGATGGTGGGCCACGCTAGACGTGGGTGGGTCATGCTGACACGCGAGACCAGGTTTTCCCTTTGACTTATCCTGGTGCTGAGCTGCAAGTCGGTGCTGATGACTGGACTGCCGGAAGCCATCTCTCCCAGAATGTCCCCCAGGGTGTCTGCCACCTCGCAAGCCCTTTCCCTGCTTCTCGGAGTGCTTCCTTTAGTGTTTTCTCCCCCACATTCTCTGCTCTCTCCTGGGAAGCTTGCTTCTTTCCTGGCACCTTGTGCCCCTGTCAACCAGATCCCCTGGGCCTGGGTTGGACTTCTCTTTTTCCGACTTTCTGGGGCATGGGCGTTACCACGGTGAGTGGAAGCCGATTTCGGTTCCTGTCAGGCTGGTCACCCGTCTGGCCTGCCTCAGCCGGCGGGTGTTCTGAAATAACCTCCATAGGTAAGCCCACATTTAATGAAATGCACTGTATTTCCTAACCTCCTCTGGGGTGCAAGGTTTTAAGCCTGAGTCCTACAGGAGAAGAAAGGTGTGGTCCAGGGTCACCTGTGGAGAGCTAAGCTCTCCTCTATCTAGAACCTGCCCCCCAAGGAGCCTGTCCTGTGAGGCCTGACCATGCTCAGTCCAGGCACCACACATGCGCTGGGCAAGCTCGTGTTTGCCGGAGACACCTGCCTGCGCAGGGCCCAATGCATGTTCCTCCTCCCCACTTCTCCTTGGGGTGCTTTGGGTTCAGGAATGTGCAGGGGTCCATCTTTCCACATTCAGATACCTAATAGCCGGGTGAGCAGTTCACACACGAACGTGTAAAAAGTTGCCATAAAACTTTACAGTTTACTTTTCTTGAAAGCAGATGAATGCTCCCTTGGGTTTGTCTGCTTAGGTTTGTCCCTCCCAAGCCCCTGTGGTCAGTCGGGTCAGCGTCGGAGCTGAGAAGGCTGTGCTGGCCCAGTGTCACGATATGCCGAGCTCTGGCTGAGGGCTGACAGCGGTCACCGCACTGGCTACAGAGTCTGCTTGTGTTCTGTTTCAGGGCTCTCTTTACCTATGAGGGCAACAGCAATGACATCCGTGTGGCTGGCACTGGGGGTGAGTATGGCCATGCGAGGAATCTCATGGGCTCGCGGAGGGAGGGTGAGTGTGAAGGGGAGACAGCTGTGCCATCCGTGTCCCATCTCAGCTGGGATTTCAGCCATCACAGCGGAAGGAGACTCAGTGAACACAGGTGTCCCCTGCCTGGCATGTGACCGCAGTGATACCTCCTCCGCTAAGGATGGACCCACCCACGTCAGCATCAATGTTGGGGAATTCCCTGGCCCCCCGATGGAGGTGTGGGCCAGACTCAGGCTGCAGCCAGCCAGGCAGGATGGGGTGCTGCATGGAGTTGGGCGGGTCCCCACACTCACAGTTGCTTCTGGCCACTTTGGGTTCAGCTGTTGCCAAGTGGAAGTGGGTCCTCCTTGCTGCCCTGGCCCCAGGGTGGGGGCAGCACTGCTCTCTGCTGTAGCAAGGGGTGCTGAGACAGGATACAGGCTGCCTCCAGCTCACAGGCCACCAGGACGAGAAGCTGCTGACACCTCTGCCCTCTGGTGGCTGAGTGTATGCAGGGCCCACCCTCACAGAAGAGGTAGCCACAGTGAACATGGTCAGCTGGGACAGGGTGACCTGGGACAGTGCTGCCGGAATACAGGGTGACGGGAGGTCCCTCAGGAAACACAGGCTTGGCCAGTACTGAGCCAGAGACGGTGGGGTGTGAACTGCGGGCACCCAGCTGACACCCCGGCTCCCCTGTGCTCAAGGCCAGCCCTCCTGAGCTGAGCCAGGCACAGCTTCATCAGGACTGCCCACCTTGCCACACGAGTGCTTCTGGTGACTGGCTGGTAGAGACCCTTCCCCTGAGGGGCCTCTTTCTGGAAGGACTGCCACTGAGGTGGTCCACGTTAACTTGGGTGGCATAGGTTACAGAGATAGAGGTCAGCAGCTGAGTTGCTCCTTGCAATCTGTGAAGTTTTGGGGGCTGATAACCGGGGCCCACCACCTTAGTGTCAGGAGAGAATGGCTTAGGGTTGCTCCTCTGCGCCCATCACTCCCTGTGAGCATCTAAGCTGAACCCATGCACAGCTGCGGGATGTTCCCATGTGCCCGGGACCCTCTGGGTGGCCCCGGAGTCTGAGCAGACGTGTCGGTGAGGGCGGGGTGACTCGTAGCAGGTCCTGTTATTCCCGGGCCCTTTGTGGGGTCCAGGCAATACTAAAATTGCAGAGACTATCCTTTCAAAAGTGGTGTCAGTGTTGTAGCAGAAATGATACTACCTGTGGGTTTACAAAAGGGGTTTTTAGACGAGTGGGGGGAACATCGCTGAGGGGCTCATCATAAACACAGGCCCTGTGTCCACCCAGCTCGTCCATCAGCCCAGTGGTCTGGGCCCAGGGTCTCCTTGCCATGCATGTGCTACTGAGACCTTGGTTTAGAGGCAGCCTGGGCTTCCTGTCCCGGTGGACCAGGTGCTGGGCTGGGTGGGGTGCCTGGGCCACCACTGACCCTCCTGTGACTGCTGCAGAGGGGGGCCTGGAGGAGATGGTGGAGGAACTCAACAGCGGGAAGGTGATGTACGCTTTCTGCAGGGTGAAGGACCCCAATTCCGGCCTGCCCAAGTTTGTGCTCATCAACTGGGTAGGTGACACTTGAGGACTCTGCGTGGTATCCAGGTGTGACCGGAAAAGCTCCCTTTGCTTCTTTCCTCCTCTGCCCTCTGTGATTGGAGCAGAGGAGGGACTTGACCTCAGGATAGCTCATAGCTGGTGAATGAGCAGCAGTGGATGGACTCATTGTGGCCCAAAGAGCACCTGCGGCCTCGCTGGTGCAGAATACGTCCTCCCAACCCAGAACTGCTCCTACAAAATGAAATAGTCACAAGACATGGTTAAACTTGTCCCCTTCAGGGTAGTTGGCAGAGGGTGTGGAGAAAGGCTGGGATGCTCTGGAGCCTGGGGTGGGGACCGGGTAAAGATGAGGGGTGCTAAGCCCTCCCGGTGAAAGCTGCCCCAGGATCCTCCCTGTCCTCTGCTGCGGTGGTCAGCTTCCCTTCCTGGGTCCCTGGGAGGGCGGTGGCTTTGGGGAATTGGCGGGTCATGCTGGGTGTGTTGTGTTGCAGACCGGCGAGGGAGTAAATGACGTGCGGAAGGGAGCATGTGCCAGCCACGTCAGCACCATGGCCAGCTTCCTGAAGGTGAGAGCTGCTCCCCACAGACCTCACAGAGCTTGCCCTGCTTGGTTTCCGGTTCCTGCTGTCAGTGAGTGGGATGCCCCAGAGCTCTGTCTGGATGGCAGGGTGTGGTCAGAGGCTGCTCCCCCTGTTCGGCTGGTGTGCAGGAGGCCAGGGTGTACAGGCTGGGCTCAGCTGGGAGGACCGTGCTGGAGCCAGGCCTGAGGCCGGGCTGGGCTCCCACCTGTTTTTTGAGCAGCGTTGTCAGGATTTAGAGGAGAGGGAGAGTTTCTTATGGCCACCGCCCCAACAAATTCCCTTTGATGCAGCCCGTTCCAGTGTGTCCATCACAGAATGGAGCCCTGTTTACTTTCAGGAGCATTTGTCATTTGCTTGTCAGCTGACTTTGCATTTCCTTGGTTCCTGGCAAGGAGGCTCGGGACTTGGAGACCCAGTTCTGCTAACACTCCTTTGGATATGCTTCCGTTTCTCTGTCTAGGAGATAAAGGAGAGGATCCCAGGCTTATTGGGTGTTAGTGACAGTGAGTGAAGTCATGAGCCTGACTTCTCAGGTGGAAATCAGTGGCTTGCTAGAAAATGTGCATGTTTCCAGATGTCTTTCAAGGTTAGCTTTCGTTGATAAGAAAGAAGCCCTCTAGCGCATGAAGCGCAGAGCATGCCCGGGCCGCTAGGGCCAAGTCCCAGGCTGTGCCTCGCTCCCTGAGGTTCGATGGCCCGCGCGGGCGGCTGTGCGCCTAGCGTGTCCCGCGGCCCGGTGTCTTCACTGAGTGCTGGTCTGGCTACAGGGGGCCCATGTGACCATCAACGCGAGGGCTGAGGAGGATGTGGAACCCGAGTGCATCATGCAAAAGGTGGCCAGGGCCTCTGGTGCCAACTACGCCTTCCACAAGGAGAGTGGCCGCTTCCAGGATGCGGGCCCCCAGGCCCCAGTGGTGAGTGCTGCAGGGCCGCGGGCAGCGTGGCAGGACCTTCCCTTGGCGCCTTCTTTCTCGTGCGGCTGGGGTACCACCAGCCTGGCTTCAAGTCCTGACCCAGATTGAGGCGTGGATGGTGATACCGTGTCTGACAGCGGGAGCTGCCCCGGGTGAGGCTGGTGCCAGTCAGCACGACCACTGGCTGAACGGCTGTCCTGGAGCCTCTTATGCTGGCGATGTGTGGTCAGAGACAGTCTGCAGTGACGGTGCGGCCACTCTCTAGGCCACACCACCGGCGTGTCCTGTGCGGCCCTGGGTGGTAGCAGACAGGGCAGGCCCCTCTGAGTTGTGGGCAGACACCTGCAGGCCTGTGGCCCCAAAGCATATCAGGGTGCATGGAGATTTGGTGGGCGCCGCCTTGGTGGTCAGCTGTCTGAGGCTGCTGGGCCAGTCCGTGGGCATGGCCCCTGACCAGAGGCCTGCCTCAGAGCTGCCTGGCCCCCAGGACTCTCAGGCAAGCCAGAGTCATTCCTGGGCAGGCCTTCACCCACCAGAGACCCTCCAGTGTTGTCTGGGTGAGCTTCCCGACCCAGTGTCAGTGTCCCCGCCTCAGTGTCTAGGGCCATTCAGGGCCAGGCGCCAGTGCCTCTGCCAGGTGCCACCCTCACAGTCGTTGCCTGTGCTGCCCGCTCCTGCCGATGGCCCTGCAGTGGACCCTCTCTCCTCAGGGCTCTGTGTACCAGAAGACCAATGCGGTGTCTGAGATCAAAAGGGTTGGCAAAGACAGCTTCTGGGCCAAAGCGGAGGTGAGTCCTACCTGAGCATGGACGGTGGCTGGCACTGTAGAGCCTTCTTGTGTGTGCCCAGCTTGTGCTAAGTGCTTCTGTTTTGGGCACAGTTACCTCCTGGAGCAAATGTTCTTGCTAGCGCCCGTGTACAAAGGGTCCGGCCGCTTCAGGGGGCCAGTGTCCCTCGAGCCGTACAGGCTGCCTCGTGGTCTGGGGCGCGCGCGGCCCGGGGCTGAGCCTGCTCCCTTCCCTGTAGAAGGAAGAGGAGAACCGCCGGCTGGAGGAGAAGCGGCGGGCGGAGCAGGAGCAGCGGGCATGGGAGCAGGAGCGGCGGGAGCGGGAGCAGCGCGAGGCCGCCCTCCGGGAGCAGCGCTCTCAGGAGCAGGGCGGCGGGGCAGGCCCCCGGAGGTGAGCCCCAGAGGCGGCCGGCAGCCGGGGGATGGGGCAGGCTGGCGCAGGGCTGCAGCTCTTCCCTCTGCCCCTCCCAGCAGGCAGTGTGAGCAGCAGGAGGTGGTTCCGAGGGACAGTGAGGAGCAGGTGAGACTTGGGCTCCCAGCAGAGGGCTGGTGACAGTGCCACCCGATGTGCGGCACAGGCCCAGCAGCGGGCCTGAGAGGTCACCGAGGCTGGGGCGCATCACAGGTGGCGGCGGGGAGGTGAGCGAGGGCAGAAGCTCCCGGCATGGGCCGCAGCCCGGGCCTGGAGGAGGCCTATGAGCTGTGTTTCGCTTCCTGATGCCCACAGCTGTGGGGGGCCAGGCAGGCTGCCCCTCAGGAACCAGCCTGTCAGCAGTCGGCACGGGAGGTTTTCAAGCAGAAGGAAAGAGCCCTGTCTGCCACGTCTGTCTCCGGCCCCCAGCCAGGTGAGACTTCCCTTTGGGCCTAGCCATGAGGCAGGGGCAAGCCCCCATGTGTCAGAAGGTGACATGAGGCAGAGACAGGCTCCCATGTGTCAGAGGGTGACAGGGACGAGTGAGCAAGGCGAGCCTATGCTCTGGAGGGCAGCTTCTGGGAGGGGATTCAGGGACCCAGGTGTCTCCTTCCTGCCCCTCCCCTCATTCTGCAGAGACCCGGTGAGAAAGGCGGGGCTACTGTGTGTCTCCAGAGTTTGGAGGCTCTGGACCCGCCCCGTAAACCCCGTACAGCTCACACATTGGGCTGTCAGCTGGGTCCCAGGAGGCCTGCATCAGACGCCTCTCAGGCCCCCAAAGGACACAGCTTGCCCACACTGCATGTGGCCCCGAGGGGCTGCCTGGAGCTTACCACTGTGTATGTGTTCACACTGGTGGTGTCTCCGCAGCTGCCGTGTGTCCCCATTTACTCCCTGTGTGACAGCCTCTGCCCTAGGACAGGCCCACCCTCTGGGCGGTGCAGGGCACAGAAGGCAGAGGCTGCTTATTCTCCCCCCTCCCGGCTGTGTGATGACCTGTGTGCCGTCGCTTTGCAGGCAAGCTGAGGAGCCCCTTCCTGCAGAAGCAGCTCCCCCAGCCAGAGACCCCGCTCGGCAGAGACTTGCCTCACGTCGCCTCACAGCCCAGGGCAGGCAAGGCCCCCGGCCGCCCCGTGGGAGGAGATGGGGGAGCTCGCCTCCCCTCCTCAGGGTCAGAGTGGGCCACGTCCTCCCATGCAGGTGTCTGTGAAGAGCCGGCACCCAGCGCCCCTCCCTGCCCAGTGCAGGCAGAATGGGAGGCCGTGTACGAGGAGCCCCCGGAGCAGGACACGCTCTACGAGGAACCCCCAGTGGTAGGTGCCCTGTGGGCGGGCAGGGCTGCGAGGGGCTGCCCCTCTGCGGTCACCATGTGCGGGTTGTCTTGCTTAAGGTCGGAGCAGCCTGTACGATAAGTTATGTGGCAAGCGCTGCTGTACTGGCTGGGGAGCTGGTTGGGGACCCCCTTCCACTGGTCCTGGCATGAGCCCCGGCTGTGGACAGAGCCAAGGTCAACAGGACCCCCAACTTCTTTCCCACACGTGAGCAGGTGCAGCCGCAGGATGTGGATGCTGAGTGCGTGGACCACTACCCGGGGCTGAGTGGGAAGGGGCTCTGTGCCCGGGCCCTGTATGACTACCAGGCAGGTATGCACGGCGGCCGGCTGCCCCAGGCCCCAGTCAGGAGCCTGCTCGGGGGCTCCCTCAGGCTGTCTGAAAAGAGGGCAGGAGGGTGAGGGGACAGGTGGGCCTCCCAGGGGCTCCAGGCAGCTACTTGTGCCACTGGCATGAATCCCCTTTGCCAGCCTAGTGGTAGAGCCTGAAGGCGACCAGAGAGGGGCCTCTCGGCACTGGCCTGGGGGAGCAGACGGGTGTGCCCAGAGCCCACCCTGAGCAAGGCGTCAGGGGACTGGCCACTAGAGCAGCCTTGGGACAGGATGGGACGTGGCCCAGGGCCCCAGAGCCCCTAGCACAGCGTCTGGGCTCTCATTGCAGCTGACGACACCGAGATCTCCTTTGACCCTGAGAACCTCATCACGGGCATCGAGGTGATCGACGAAGGCTGGTGGCGTGGCTACGGGCCGGATGGCCACTTCGGCATGTTTCCCGCCAACTACGTGGAGCTCATCGAGTGAGGGCCTGGCTGCTGCCCAGGCCCAGGGCCGGCCGGCCCTCCCCGCCACACTCGGTCACGTTGCTGGAGGGGGGCATGTGAGGTCTTCCAGGATTGGGGACCCCGGGGAGGACGAGCCCTGACTCCCTCTGGCTTGGGTGGCTCAGCCCGTCACCCCAAATGCAGCAATAACCTGGTGGTTCCCACACCCGCTTCCAGCAGCCTCACAGGCCCTCTGGTCAGTCTGACCCTTGACCCCAACGGGTCACTGAGCCAAGCCCCGGCCGTGCCAGCCCCTGGGGGTCTGAGCAGGGGCCTCGGGAGGCCTGTCCGCGCCTTCTTCCTTTGCCCCTGGGCCCTGGGGGTGGGGGCTGCAGCTGTCAGTGACCCTGAGGAGCTCATGACTTAGCAGTTTCTGACCAGAGTGGGAGTGGGTCAGGGCACCTGGCCGCAGTAGCTTGCCTTTGTGGATTCTGCTGTCTGATCGGTTTCTGTCCCTCTGCCTGAGCTGTAGGCAGCAGGGACAAGGACAACCAAGCGCTCGTCTAAGTGTGTGAAGGAAGGTGTAGCAACACCGCAGACACAGCCGTCCTTCGTGGGGCTCGCTCTCGCCTACTGGCCCCACGTCAGCTCTTGGAGTGGGAACTGCCCCCACAGGCCCCAGCTTTGACCTGCCCTGTCGTGACCTGACGACCCATGTGGGACGACCCCTTCCTGGGCACTGTGGCACATGCGTGGACCTCGGGCTGGGCTGGCCACAGCTGCCTACAGGGAGCATAAATGTTAGGATGTGAGTGAAGTCGGCCTCCTGCATTTCACTTCTCTGGGAGGGACCGAGGGCCTTGTTCCCTCCACGGGGGCCTCTGCACGCGTGGGCGGCGTGCGTGCGCATGAATTTCGGGGCCATCACGTGTCCTCATGTGCCCCGGGAACTGCTAGGTGGAAGCAGCCTGGGGTGAAGGCTGCACTGAGGAGGCCCCAGGTGATGGCCAAGCCCAGTGCCCTGAATCTGCCTGGTGGCAGGTGGCCCGTCCTGTGTGCCCCTTGGACAGGCCTAGCTGCGGGCAGAGCTCACTGTCCTGATTTCTCTCCCATGAGGTGGAATGACAGGGCTCCCCCGCCATCTATGGAGGCCTTATGAGTCAGGTGTCCCCAGCTTTGAGGCCATCTGTGGGCTTGTCTATCTCCAAACTAGGGGACACGCAGGAGACGGGGCTCGATGCCCTCTCGCCCTGCCTACCCTGGGGCTGTGGGGACAGTAGGAGACAAACCATCTAAAGGAAGCCGGCCGCAAAGCAGTGTCCGGGCCACCGTCCTTGTTCACTGTGGGGAGGGCTGTTCCCTTGGACTCCCTAAGTGACCCCAAGCACCCTGATTCTAGAGCAAGGTTATCAGCTTTGGGGGCCACCCCGGGGCCCCACACCTAATGGTCGGGTCCCCCAGGACAGCGTTTGTGGAACCTAAGGTCCTGGGCTGTGAGTTAGCTGAGCAAGTGCTGGGGGCCAGGCGTGCGGGGCCATGGGATTCAGGCAGTGGGAGGAAGAGGTGCCTTTATTGGCCGAGCCCACCCTTCACTTGGCCTTGCCCTGGGCGGCCACAGCCTCCATGGCCTTCCGGACGGTCTCTTCGTCACCCAGGAACCGCATGGGCTTGGTGGGCTTCAGTCCCTCATCCAGCTCGTACACGATGGGGATCCCCGTAGGCAGGTTCAGCTCCATGATGGCCTGGTCTGACATCCCTGTCCGGAGGAACCAGAGGCCCTTAGCCCCTCCCGGCCTGTCCACCAGGCTGCCAGCCGCTTGCTCTTGCATCTGGCAGGCTCTGTGACCTTTTAAGAGCCCCCTCCCACCCCGACAGCAAGGCCCAGAGAAGGTCAAGGCAGAACTGAATGAGCCGGTGGCCTACAGAAATAGCCGTGCTAAACCATGGGCCTTCCCCGCCCCAGTGCTGTGACCTGGGGTGGCGCCAGGATCTCGGCCCAGCATAAACTCTGGCTGGACCGATGGGTATTTGCATTCAGTTAGGACATCAGCCATTTGGTTTCCAGAGTTCTAAATTCTAGGCATACTGAGCAAAGGAGCAGGGGGGGTGATCCTAAGAAATGGGTGAACAAGGGACAGCAAGAAGGACCGCCCTGGCCAGGGTGACAGGAGGCTGCCAGGTGCACAGGGCAGCGTTTTCGGAAGAAACCCAACCCGGCCAGCGTCCCGCAGCCCCCGTCTGGAATAGCAGCTCGCCCTTTGGTATTTCTGCCACTCCACAGTGCAGGGAGAGACGTTCTGGGCAGTGAAAGGCTAGCCCACGTGTCCTGGGTGCGTCCTGTCCTCCCAGTGGGCGGAGAGGCCTGTGGGTGCATGAGGCCCCAGGGGAGGGGCAGACTACTCATCTGCTGGGTTCAGTGCCAGGTGCAAGGCATCTGCTCGGACCTGGCGTCCTGGGGTGGACAGACAGGCTGGCTAGGCCCTGGGCCTGCCTGTGTGCTCCGGCCAGCTAGCTGCCCACCACCCCACTTACGTCCCTCCCTCCGTGATCCCAACCAGCTTGACCCTTCAGATGCTAAGTCTGTCCCGATGTCTGAAGGTTTTCAAAGGGAGCCCATGGAAGATCCGTCACACTTTGGGAGTCACCCCACCCCCTGCATCCTTCCGACTGGTCTTAGCTCTACCTGGAGTGGACGGAGCTGGGTGCTGGGCACCGGGAGGCAGGGCTCTGCCTCCGGCCCCACATCCAGGAGTTGCCCCAGAGAGGGCGGCTGAGGCCCAGCAAGTGATGTGACTTGACCAGGGACACACAACAAAGCAGGACTGGAAGCCAGGCAGCCCTGCCTTTTCCTGGCTGCTTGTCCTTGGCAGGACGCCACCCTGAGCCTTCATACCCCCAGCCCTGGGCTTGTGCTCAGGAAGCTGGGTCAGCGCCGGGTCCCTTAGGCCCTGTGCAGGAAGGGTCTGGGTCCTGGGTCTGGGGGGGCAGATGTTTTTACCCCCCGTCTTCAGAAGGAAACTCTACACGGTGGCCCAGTGCATACACAGAAATGAAACCAAAACTTCACAACGCTGTTTTTTAAATGGTTTCTCTGACCTGCCCAGTTCCATTCAGTTTGAAAACTATCCTGGACACTGACATGGGCAAAGCAGCCTCAGCCGGGCAGCGGGCAGTGAACTGAGAGGCTGGCTGGGTGCCAGGCCTGTGCCCCCCCTCCACCTGCTCCCATGCCCCAGCGGGGTGTGCCTCACCTTCCAGGTGCTTGACGATGCCGCGCAAGCTGTTGCCGTGGGCCGCGATGAGCACTCTCTTGCCTGCCTTGATCTGCGGGGCAATCTCCTCATTCCAGAAGGGCAGGGCCCGGGCGATGGTGTCCTTGAGACTCTCACAAGTGGGCAGCTCCCCGGGCTTCAGGCCTGCGTACCGCCGCTCCTGGGGCACCACATGGCTGTGCGGTCCCTCCCTGCCCGCCCCCACCCGGGCCCCTTCCCAAGGCCCCACCCCCAGGCCTCCCTACAGCCCACCTTGCTGATGGAGGTGTAGTAGGGGTGCTTCTCGTCCATGGGGGGCGGTGGGATGTCGAAGGAGCGTCTCCAGATCTTCACCTGCTCCTCCCCGTGCTTGGCAGCGGTCTCCGCCTTGTTGAGGCCTGTCAGGCCCCCATAGTGCCGCTCATTCAGACGCCAGGTGCGCACCACGGGCAGCCACATCTGGTCCGTGCCGTCCAGGATGGTCCAGAGTGTGCGGATGGCCCGCTTCAGCACCGACGTGTAGCAGATGTCGAACTCCATCTTCGAGTCCCTGATGGCCTGGGCGCCCCTCTTGGCCTCCTCGGCCCCCTTCTCACTCAGCTCGGCGTCAAACCAGCCGCAGAAGCGGTTCTCCTGGTTCCAGGTACTCTCACCGTGCCGAACCATCACGAGGCGGTGAGTGGGCATGGCGGCGACGCTGGGATGGTGGCAGGCTCTGGACAGGGACAGCTGCCTCCCCGCGCCACCAGCTTTATAATAGTCTGTCCCCAGCCCCCATCCGGCCAACTGCCAATGGGCATTCCAGGCCCAACAGGCGGTGGCAGGTGGCCAGGAGCAAAGCTTCGGGGGAGGGTAGGCCAGGAGCTGGACTTAAAATAGTCCCAGCAGCCACCAGTCCCCACGCTCCGAGCTCAGGCCAGGCATGAAGGGCAAGGCTAAGGTGGGTGCTAGCAGACAGAGGACTTCTCTGGGGAAAGGCTCCCCCTGAGGTCAGGGCGCCCAGGCCTGTCAACCCCTCCCTGCTCTCTGGGTGCCTGACACACTCAGGCAGAGGCACAAAAATCCCACCCGCTTTCTCCTCGTCACTCTTAACACAACTGGGGACAAGCGTGCCTTTCAGTGGAGAGGCCAGTCCCAAAAGGTTATGTATAGTCTGGTTCCACTTGAGTGACATTCTCGAGAAGGCACAACTGTGGGGCCAGATGAGTAGGTTAGGGGTGGGGAGCATGTGACCACAATGGCACAGCATGAGGGGGTGTCCTGATTTTGGTGGAGGTGAACAGGTGTACACATGTTAACACTCAGAAAACTGTATACCGCAAGAATCAGTTTTATTGCACTTTAGTTTAAAAAAGGTTTTTTTTTTGGTTTTTTTTTAAAGATTTTTATTGGGGAATTGGGGGGATGGGAACAGTGCTGGGGAATTGGTGGAAGGGGAACAGGCAAGTTGATGTCGTTTTGTTCTTCAGTCTAGTTGTGGAGGACGTTGCTTCACTGGCCCAAGTTGGCACCATCATTGCGCTCTTCCTGGGCGAGGCAGATCAGTCGCCAGCTTCTGGACGGCCGCTCACTGTGGCTGCTGGCTACATACAGTAGCCCATGGCAGCCCACTGCCACAGGGGCTGCAGCCTACGCCGTCACTGGCGACTCATGGCAGCCCAGCTCCAGGTGGAGCTGTTGTTCAGCATCTTAGCTGTAGAGGGCAGTGTCATTGGCCCTCATATGTGGGATCCGAACCGGGGCCCTCTGGCGTCCCAATCCAGTTCTTAACCATCGCGCCACTCGGCCGGCCCTAAAAAAAGGTTTTTTAATGTGAGATGTCAGGGAAGTCTTTACTTGACAGGCACTTTGGGGTCAGAAGAGTAATTCCAGATGGACCGTTGGGTGAGGCTCCTGGGGATTTGAGGAACGGGACACCGTGCGGCCAGGCCCCTGGGGGAGGGTGACACACCCCCTGGCCGCGTGGGTGTCTGAGGCAGTGCAAGTGGGAATGAACCGGGTCAGTCACAGAGCGGGGGGCGGGGGCCCCACTGGGAGAGAGGGAGCACAGGACCTGAGGCTGGTGGGGTGGGCAGAAGTGCTGGGGCCCTGGGGGCCGCAGTGAGGACTTCCGATTTACTGAGCAAGGTGGGCCACCGCTTGAGGGCTCTGAGCAAGGAGTGACACCACGTGACCTACTTTTAAAAGGCTGCTTCCAACTGACCCTAAAAGGAAGCCTGGCTGGGGGCGTGAAGCAAATACAGGCAGTGGGTCAGCGTTGAAAGTTCTCTTCTTCCCAGCTCCCTACCCCGGGCTTGGGTAGGATGGGTGCGGATGGGGCATGCTGCACAGGGCATGGGGGTCCACTTGGGAGGATGAGGACTTGGACAGCAGTGTAACTTCTGCCTGGAGACTTTCTGTGGCCAAGGGCGTCCATGGGGTCTGGCTGGCTGAGCGGTCCCCGGGGTTTCCAAGGAGCGGCACACAGGATCAGGCATTTCTCTGCTCTGGGGGGAGGTATGCAAGACCCAGGTGTCTGAAGATGTCTTCCTCTGCAGCCACGTGGACAAACGCCTTCTGCGAGGAGAGAGGGGGCCTTGGTGCCTGACTTCCCCCCCCCCGGCCCCCCCGCAGTGGCTTCCCTGACAAAAGCAGGGGACAGGGCAGAGCACAGCCTCAAGGCTCTGCCTGTGGGTTCCAGGCTGTGGGCCAGGGGCCAGGCCGCCAGCAACACCCCTGCCCAGCAACACACCTGCTCCGGGTCATACAGCCCCCGGCTATTCAGCCACAGCCCCTTCTCGGTCCGGCTGAAGCGGCGAAGCTCCCGCTCAAAATGCTGAGGGTGGAGGGGTGACAAAGTCAGTAGGGCCCAGTCCAGCCAGGCCCGCCCCTGATGCCAGGCCCTGCCCACACAGCACACTCCCTACCTTGGAGCCAGTCCAGCCAAGCAGGGCAAAGGGGAACTGACCAATGGGGACGACCACCAGGTCCACACGCACAGCCTTCCAGGCGGGCCAGGGCCCCCCCACGGCAGCTCCTGGGGGCCTCGGCAGGCGGAAAATGCAGAAGCTGCTTTCAAAGGTGTCTGGAGTGTGGCTCTGCCACGTCTGGGGAGCGGGGTCTCTGCAACGATGGCGGTACTGCTGGTACAGGACGAGGCCCTGGGGGACAGCAGGCGTGAATGGCACCGCCCCTGCTGCCGGGAGGGCAGGCCCAGGTCCCAGCAGGTCCCAGCGCTCACCTGCTTCTTCAGGTGGAGCACCACTCTGGGCAGCAGCCCCGCCTCCTGGCCTTCCTGGGGGTGGGTGATGAGGAAGTCCACATCGTGGCCCTGTGACCTCCCCCTGAGGGGGCAAGAGTGACTCTGCCATCCAGCGCACAGCCTGAGCGCAGGAGACCGTCAGTGGGGGAAGGCCCACCTCAGGCCCTTACCTCCGGAAGCCGCCAGCCAGCGTAACGGTGGCTCCGGGGAGGGCCTGGCCCACGGCTGCCTCCACCACCAGCTGCAGGGCCTCCACTTCGGGCCACTGGACCGGGCTGCTCAGGTCCCCATAGTGCCGGAGTCCTGTGGGCGGCAGGCTCTCCTGACCTCCCAGCCGGCTCTCCCCACTGTCCTCGCCTCCCTTCTAATCATGGAACTTTTATTTTGGGATAACTGTAGATCCAAATACAGTTGAAAGAAATACCAGGTCCTCTGTGCCCTCTACACAGCCCCCGCAACCCCCCAAGTGTAACATTTGTGTCACACCCAGATGCTGACACCGACACAGCCAAAATACAGGCTCCTTTCAGTGCCTCGGCTGTCCCATCCATAAAATGGGACGAGTTGATAAAAAGACACGGGAGAGGACGTCCATAGCGCTTGGGAGCAGCTCACTGCAGCCCAAGGACATCTGCTCACCTGTCAGGACCCTACCCTCCACTTAGGAGATCTGAAGTGTAGCAGTGGCAGTACGTGGCAGAGCCAGCTCAGCACTGCTGCCACCTCTGGCTTGACCATGTCCTGGGAGAGGTGACTCAGTGAACCAGTGGGTGTCACACGGCGTTGCGGGTCTGCTCCCCACTGATCGACCGTGCAGGTTTCCTAGGACCCCCAGGTGCCATCCCCACCTCCAGACCCTGGGAAGATGCTCAGGGGTGGTGGGTACTGGGCTGTGAGTCTCCCTCAGGCCACACAGACAGAACGGACTATCTGCTCAAAACCTGCTACCCGCAGAGTCCCACACTTCACAGAGGGCGGGACGGAGGCTCGCAGAATCTCTCAGGGCCACAGCCACCTACCTAGTAAGTGGCAGAAATGGGATTCAAACCCAGGCCGAACCAGCTCTCAAGTTCATGTCTTTTTCACTTCAAAAGGGCCAACTCCCACGAGCAGGCCCCTCCAGGGGCCTCTCCTACCGCACAGGTCCCCTCGCCATTGGTCAGCAGTCAGGTGGGCAGGGCCCAGGCTGTTCCGACAGGCCCTCCCCAGAACCGGGAGGAAGGGCCCAGGCCTGGTCCAGTCCAAGTCTAACCAGGAGGTCCTGAATATCATGTTAGCTACTGTGACCATCATTATTCACTGAGAAAGGACTGCAGTGGGTCCTCACTCCACCGGGCGGAGGCCCCAGGAAGCCCACCGGAGTTGTCTGCCTTCCCACAGGCCCCCACGCTGATCCCCTCCCCACCCTCCAGGCAGCGTCTGCTCTGAGTGTGGGAAGCGTTCAGGCCCTATGCTTTGGGCCATGCAGGCCTCTCTGAAGCTCACCTGCTTTCTGCTGCTGGGTCAGTCCATGCACCTGCTCCCGGACATCGTCCAGTGTCCGCAGCCCTTTCCGGTACCATTGGTCAGCAGTCCTGACTCCAACCCCAAAGATTCCGGTGAAGAGCTGTTGGGGGGATGAGCACAGCCCTGTCAGGGGTCGGGCAGAGCTCCTACAGCAAGATGCAGGTGGCGACACTGATCTGCAAAGGGGTCGTCACAGGCCAGCACGGCCGCTGGTGGCCTCACTCAGTCATCATGTGGCCTGGCCAGTGCTGCCCCACTTGTATTTTTCCAGTTGAAGCAACCTGCCCAAAGCCACACAGCAGTGCACAGGCAGGATTCAAACCTATGCAGCGCCCCCTCCAGGGGACAGCAGGGGAAGGCCCCGAGCACTTTGGCCTCCTCCTCTAGGAGAGGTCTGTCCCCAGGACTTGTGCAGCTCCAGCCTGTGATTCCATCACAACAGCCTCCTAACGGCAGCTGAGGCTCATCAGTGCAGTTCTCCTGAACAGCCAACACAGTGGCCCCCTAACAACTTGAGGGTTGTTTTAGCAGGAGCTGATGGGGATGAAGGCTGGGGCTGGCTGGGGCTGGCTGGGGCTCCACTCCAGGCTCAATCACAGCAGGTGTCACTGCCCAGTCAGGGGTCAGCACAGACCCCAGGCCAGTGGAGACGACACAGCTGGAGCTCACCTCTCCTGCGGGGGCTGGCCACCCTCACAGTCTCCCACACATGGTTGGACCCTGACCCTGGCCCAAGCAAGTCACCTGAGTCTTACAGCCCATTGGTCGGGGATAGGCACCTGCCTTAGGCCGGCTACTCAGAGCCCCTCCAGGAATTTCTGGAGCTAAAACAGGTCAGGGTGGAGGATGCAGCGTGTGGCAGGAGCACCTTCTGTGGCCATGTCTGACCCGGGGGACAGCTGGCGTGCCAAGGAGGAGGAACAGCTGAGCCCTACTTCCTGCAGCCCCGCTGTACCCCTTTCTGGGCTGTGCTGGCCATCCTCTCCTTGATCCCCATAACCAAGAGCATGAGCTGGGTCACTGTCACCAACAGACTCCTGAGAGGAACTATGCTGAGAATAACCCGATCATATTGTTTACAAACAAACTTTTGATTGTTAACGTACTCATCTGCCTGCTCGGATGCCTTTGGGACTTTGGGGCCCACGAGGAGGCAGGCGCCTCTGCCCTGTCGGCATTTCTGCAACCCCCCACACTCCCGTGCTCTGCGTGCCCAAGCTCCTCTGCTCTCCACATGGCTCCTCGTCTTCCTTGAAGCCCCGTGGATCCTCACAACATTCTGGGCAACCGCCCACAGCAGCGATGACCCACCCTACCAGGCCAGCCCCATGGCCCCACAGGTCGCAGATCTGCCGGCCGCCAGCCACAAAAGCCGGGCGCCACAGCACACCACCAAGGCACCGGGCAGCTGCATGTCTGTCCAATGGGAAGTGAGGTGGAGCAGTGGGAAGGCACGCTGTGGACACGGGCAGGACGACACCAAGATGTCAGTGTGACATCAGCTGGACACAGGGCAAGGGTGTGAGGTCCTCAGGCCCAGCCCGGGGCACCTTCTGCCCACATGCTGTTTGAGGTGCAGAGCATGTAACACACCGGAGAACGTCCCATCAGCAGCCCAGTAAGGACACACAGAGCTGACGGAGCCATCTTGAAAAACAGGCTTCTCCCTGCGGCTCTGTGGCTGTCTGTGCGTATCAGGTGTCAGCTGCCACTTCCTCAGAGACCTTCTCTGAGCCCTGGGCAGGGCCAGCCGCACCACTGCACCCTGCAGGAACTGTGGGGTCCCCCTGGGGAGGAGGGCTGTGCCCCTGCAGGCCCCCCTGTGCGCACCTTCATGCTCTGGTACCTCTCCGAGAGCCGGACCCTCTCCACTTCGTCACACACGCCATGTTCCAGCAGCTCCTGCAGCAGACACACACTCTGAGCTGGGGCCTGGCCCGGCAGACCCCACACTCAGCGGCAGGTTCTGTGGTGTCGGGCCCTGAGGGACCTGGAAATGGACACTGCCCAGGAGGCACCCAGAGCTTCAGGTCCTCACGGCTACTCTGTCAGATGAGTAACAAGCCCCAGTGTATGGAAACCGCCTTCAAAACCAGTGAAGAATTCAGTGCGACTTCATTTAAAAGCATAACTGAATTCAAAAGCACCTTTGTCAGGTATGGTCTCCCAGTGATGTGTACCAAAGGACAACTTTCCTCAAACATTCTGCACTGTAAGAGGGGCTTGTACTCAGGGCTTCTGTGCCACCATCCTGGGCAGTTTGGGCAGTTGCCAACAGTGCCAGCCATCAGCCATGCTAGGCCCCTGGAAGCCCCTTTTGTTGACTCCTCTCAGCCACCCTGAAGCAGGTGGTGCGGCCCTCATTTACATGAACAATCTGGCGGTGGCTTGCCACCTCCTGGGAGCCAGCATCAACGTCGGCTCGAAACCACCTTGCCACCTGCTATCCCCAGGCTCCAAGGCCTCCTCGCTCCACTGGCCTTCACAACTCTGCCTTGCAAAGCGTGGTGGATACCTACCTGGACGACCCTGCAGGAATGCTCTCCAAAGTGGGGCAGGCCCTGCAGCTGGCTCAGGGCTGTGACTGGGCTGGGAAGTGCCTTGAGCACAGAGGCTGCTCTGGAGAAGGACAGGAGGCGGCCCTCGCTGCCTTCAAAGCCCGCTGCCTCTGCCAGCGTCTCCAGAGCCTCCTGCAGGGAGGGGCCCTCGGTGAGAGCAGGGTTCGGGAACCTCACCCCAGCCCTCCAGCTGCCACCCACCTGTTCCCACGGCCAGGCAGGGCAGCGTGGGGGGTGCTCTCAGGGAGGCCGGGAACCCATGGCTCACCGAGAGGCTGGTGTTGTGGTGTGTGAGGGGCGTAGGACGCTGGCAGGCATACGGTGGCATCCACACTGGGCTTGGCAACCCCTGTCTAAACGTGGCCACCTAGGGATGGGCAATGAACGGGCCGCTGGGAGGCTGCACAGCTGGCAGCCCCCCAAGCCTTGCCTCTTCTGGGCAGTCACCTAGGGCTCTCTGCACACAGAAGGAGCTGACTCTGAGAGGAGAAAACTACCGGAGGCGTTGGGCAAACGTGGCGCTGCCCTGCTGAGCAGGCCCCAGAGGGCTCTTCAGGCCAGTGGCAGTAGTGACACCACCTGCGAACCCTCATGGACACGTTTCCTGCTGATGCACATGCTGTGTGTGCCCCACCTCCCAAATGTCTGTCCATCAAGTGGGCTGGGCGTGCCTGTCATCCCCACCTCAGATGGGGACAACTGAGGCCTCATGGCTCACAGGCAGAGCCAGGATTTGAACACAGGCAGCCTGCTCCGAGCCCACAGCTGCATCCCCCAGCTCTGCTCTGCCAGGAGGTACGGAGTCGGCAGCGGCCATGAACCTCACAGCAGCCTGAGGACAGCCTCCCGTTGGCTCTCATGTCATCTCACTTAGGGGTCACATTCATCAACTTGGTGAACAAGAAAAGCCAAAAGATGCTAAAAATAAGTGGACCCCAAGAGTCTGCACCAATGGTGACAGCAGAAGCTGGGATGGCCTGGCTTGCTGATGTGGGCAGAGCCCTCACTGCCCACGTCATCTGGACACTGAGGCACTGCTGCCATGTCAGCTGTCCCAGCTTAGCTACAGCCTGCACTAGGGCTTTCTCTGTGGCCCCACACTAGTCCTCCCCCCAGCTCACCTCCAGGCGGTGCCGGCACTCCACAGGTACAGGCTGCCCAGCTGCCATGCTCTCTGTGAACCAGCTTATGTCCAGCAGCACTGGGCGGGCACAACCTGGGGCAGGGGGCGCCGCCCTGCTCTCCTGCCAGCAGATGGCGTCCTCAGCAGAGGTCTGCTCCATCACAACGTGTGTCACCTCGGAGCTGGGCGGACAGAGAGGGAGCGGTGAGGCCCTGGCCTTTTCCCAGGCCTGCCATCCTTCCGGCTTCACTCCATACCTCCAAGGCATTGCTCTGCCTGGACGGGCACCAATTCGTGCTCCAGATGGCACCGTCTCAGGACTTCCCAGCCCTGTCTCCTGGCGGCCCTCTGCTTCAGCGACTATCACAAGCCCAGTGATTCTGTGTTCTCCCACCCCAGAGAAGGGAGCTGCTCAGGGGCCAGGACCGGGGGTCTTCATCTAAGCGCTGGAGCCGGACAGCTTGGGCGTGAACCTCAGCTCTGCCACACCCTTGCTGCGTACCCCTGGGCACCTCACCTCCTCTGTAAAGCAGAGCTGATGACTGTCCCTTGTGCGGCTGTTGTAAAGAGTGATACGAGCTAATAGGCCAAAGGGCTCAGACGGTGCCCAGCACGCTGAGCTGCTGTCACCCTCCTCCTCCCAGCGGCTACGCTACACCCCTGGGGACAGTTAAGTTAGAAGGGCTGCAGGGGGACTGGCCTCTGGCTGGCTTGCTTTTTCCACATCACACCTCTGGGAACCAGCTACCTTACTCTCAGCGTTGCCGCTGCAGGCGGTATCTTTTTGTCATCCTGGAGCCACTTGAGAGTCACTTTCTCAGTCCCAGGAGAGAGGAGATGGCAGGGTGAACTACGGCAGAAGGGCTGTTAGCCAGTCACACCGTTCCCCGGCCTACACCCACACGGCTGCTATAGAAGCCCTGGCACACACTGTCCCTTGACCTACAGATCGTGACCCTAACTGCTAGCAGCACCCTTTTACAGAAAAGGAAACCGACAAGGGCTACGTGGCCATGACGTCCGAGTGCTAACTCGGAATCCTCCCCCGGGGCCAGCCACGAGCGAGTTCTCTCAGCCCCCTCAGCTGTTTAGAAACATGGCATGTGAAAGCGGCCGGGCCGCTGCCAAGTCCCGAGCACGGGCTTCTGTGCTTAGGCTGTCACACCACGCAGCGATGTCCTCCCGTCCACGGGGCGCGACAGCGCGGTGAGGCCAGACGGTGGGCGCCGCCCCCGCCTCGCTCCCTCAAGTAGGATGCCTGGGAAGGAGGCCCCGCCCACAGGTAGGAGGCCCCGCCCACAGGTAGGCGGCCCCGCCCTCAGGTAGGAGGCCCCGCCCACAGGTAGGAGGCCCCCGCACTCAGGTAGGCGGCCCCGCCTGGCCGCGAGCGGCGCACCTGTAGGCGTCCAGCACGCGGAAGCCCTTGGACAGCGCCAGGCGTGTGAGAAACGCCCGGCGGCTGCGGCCCATGCGCGGCTCCGCCAGGTAGATGGCGACACCCGGGAAGCGTGCTGCGGAGGGCATGGAGCCGGAGGAGACCCGCGCCCGCCGCCGTTTCGGGAGCATCGGGGCCCAGGCCTGGGGCGCGCTGGGCGAAGGTAGCGGGAAGGCGAGCAGGAGCCGGAAGGAAGCCGGAAATTAAGCGGACGGAAGCCGAGTGGAAGGGGAAGTGGTGCGGGGCTCCACCCCGGAGGCAGGCCCCGCCCCATGCAAATTGAGCTACTGAGAAGCTACGGTTCCGGGCTCCCACCGGATTGGGTGTCCCGGCCTCTTGGCGCCAGGGGCCCCGCCTCTATGCAAATGAACCATAGGACACGCCTTCTTTTTAAATTACTCTCTTGGAAAGCCGCGTTGGACTCCGGGAACCACCCGGGTCAACAGACCAGGTCGGGGGGCGGTTAGGGTCAGGGTAGTGGGGTGCATCCTCGGCCCAGGGAGGGGGCGGAATCGGCCCTTGGCCAGGGCGGGCGTGAGGTATCGGCGAGGCCAGAGGGGCTGCGGACAGCGGCAGAGGCAGAGCCGGTGGCCGCGTAGACCTGGCGGCGCGGGGTCCCGGGACGGCGCAGTGGGGCAGATGCGCGAGCCTGAGCGTGCTGGTGGAGCGGCCGTATCAAACCTGGGAAAGATTTTTCAGTCGCGTGGCGTTGAGACAACTGGCCGACCATTTGGAAAAATAGAAGTTAGCTCCCTCCCTCACTCCTTAACACCAAAATAAAATCCAGATGAATCAAACATTCAGATCTAAAAAAAAAACGTACTGGAAAGTTGATGGATGTTTTATAGTCTAAGTATCACAATAAACCCGAAACACTGAAGGAAAAGAATGACACATTGACTACATCGAAATTTAAAATGTATTTAGAAATTAAAAGGCAAACCAGAGGGTAAGTCTCTGACATATTTTGAAATTAAGTCTAATTCGTGTCATGAAATTGTCCACAGACAAATAAGGAAAGGGCAATGATCTAATGGAGAAATTGGCAAGAACACCAACAGGCAATTCACAAAAGAAATGCTACTCATGAACTTATACCAGGTTGCTGTGCTGTCCAGTCATTAGAGAAGTCCAAATATACGCGAGAAATCTTTACCAGTTGGCATTGTCAAACGTTTAAAAAATTGATCACACATGTTGAAAGTGTGAGGGAATTGGCAGTTTGTAGGAAGGACAAACAAAAAAAAACATCACACCAAACAATTCCGTTCCCAAGGTTGGGATTGTGTTGAATCTACAGGTCAGGTTGGGAAAGCTGACACCTGAAAAATATTGACTGTTCCTGTGTGTTTCTCTCATTTTCAGGCACTATGTTTTGGAATCTCTTTGTTATAGCAGTGTAGCCATGCTCAGACGAACAGATAGGATAGGCCAGGTGTGACCCCTGTCTCACCCCTCTCCTCCATCTTCTCCCAATTTGCAGTGGGGACAGAGCTAAGGGAGGCAGGTGCCTTAGCCCAGGACTCTCAGCCTCCCAGGCGAACTCCCAGCCTGCCCTCCGCGGCCCCAGGACACACACTCCAAGAGATGGAGCTTGTGGCCCCGTGGTCACCCTCCCCCCCATCATTTCTCCTCCTGCCAGCAGGGAAAGGGGTGCTCCCAGGGCATCTGGAAGGGGTGGGAGCCTAGTTCCCCATCTGTGGGATCCACCTCTCCTCAGGGAGCATACCTCTATCTCCTGGAATCATTTCCTTTTAATGTCCTCTGTCTCTGACCAGGGCAGAGGCAGCTTTTCATGACCCATCATACCTGACTACCTAAAACACTGGGCAGCTTGCCAAAATGAGGGACACAGGAACGCAGGTGCAGGGAGGTTTTGTGATGGGGAGGGTGACCCTCAGTGCCCACCGAGTGGAAGCCTGGGTACCAGCAGGCAAGGCCATGTTAATGGGTGGCGTGTTCCTCTCCTCCCCTCCCTGGACCACCAGGTCACTGTCCCTCCAGCTGGGAAGTGGAGAACTCAGCCCTCTATTTCCAGTACACCTGGCTTAGGGTTCCCAGATGCCTGAGTCCCCAGCTTCCTGCTCCCCACACTGAGACCACCCCCCCAAAAAAATCAGAGCGGCCACAAGGATGACCTCTAGGCTGGGCCCTTTCAGCTGCCCTGACGGTGGAGTCTCTCTCCCTGCTCCATTCTCATATGTGTTCTGGATTCGTTTTATCTAGATGTATGAGCTTGCATTTTTCCAAGATGCATCTCATCTAGCAAGCTATTTCCTGTTCCCGCTTCCGGGTCGGAGAGGTCCCTGGGGGTCATGTTCCAGTCCTCGTGAGCATCTTCTGTGAAGGTCACTTCAGTGCCGCGGGCCTGTCTTTGGCCTGTGGGGCCAGGACTGTGTGCTGGCTTTTGGGCCACCCCGCTGTCAGTTCCAGCTCCTGTGGGCTGCGTGCCAGCGGTGCTCAGCGAGCACGCGGTCAGACTGCTGACGCTGTTGGCCTGAGCTCCTGAGGGCTGCTGGCCTCAGTGCTGGTCTCGGGCCTTCCTGATCTATCCGCCACATGATGGCTTTGGGTTACCTGGTGTATCAGTCAGCTCAGGCTGACATAACAAGATCCACAGACTGAGCAGCTTCAGCAACAGAAACTTTATTTCTTACTGTTTGGAGGCCAGAAGTCCGGGATCAAGGTGCCGGCAAGGTAGGGTTCATTCTGAGGCCAACTCTTGGTCTGAGGCTGGCACCATCTCACTGTTCTCACATGACCTCTTCATGCATGCGAAGAGACAGACACATGAGAGAGATCTCTTCCTCTTATAAAGCCACCAGTCCTGTTGAATTAGCATCCAACCCTTATGACCCCATATAACCTTTTATCTCCTAAAAGCCCCGTCTCCAAATACAGTCACTTTGGGGGTTAAGGTTCTAGCCTCTGTGGCTCCTGGTGTCCTGCACTTGTGGCCACAGGCCTCCAGTCTCTGCCCCATTTCCAATGTCCACCTTTCCTCTGAACCTCCTTTTCTTAGGAAGGCACCAGACATTGCATGTTGGGCCCACCCTAATTCAGGACGACCTCATCTTGAAATTCTTAATTACATCTGCAAAGACCTTTATTCCAAATAAGATCACATTCTAAGGTTCCAGGTGGACATGAATTTTGGGGGGCATCATTCACCCCACGACTCTTGAGTCCACAGCAGTGACCTGGTCTCAGCTCTGGACTCTGTGACAGACTACGTTCCCCGGGCCAGATGGCCAACCTTCACTGATCTGCAAAGATCCGTCAATTGATAACTAAGATGCTGGTGATGGGCAACGGTTCAGTGTGTCATCTGTATGTCTGCATATGTTTGAAATTGTAAGAGTGAAATGTTTTAAGCACGTGCATACACATAATGAGATCAGTACTCTCTGCCAGGCACTGCTCTAGGCACTTGACAGGTGTCTGCACACTGACACCCAGGACATTGCTGTCAGTGGATGACATCCATGTTCCCGTCTTGCTGGGCAGGAAAGAGAGACACAGAGAGGTTAAGTAACTTGCCTGAGTTTGCTCAGCAATTGAAGAGCAGTGTTGGGATGTTGTCCTGGAAAAACACTGCTGTGTTCTCCTTTACGCTCACGTAACACTTCTGACACTGATGTGTGGGTTTTCCACACCCAGCAATTCTGTGACACCAGCTGCTATCCTCCAGTGCAATTCCATTCTGACACTGACTGGAGTTAGAACAGACCCACAGGTTAAGGGCTCAGTCCCTCACACACACACACTTCATGCCAACCTTGAGTCCAGGTCACCCCTGTGCTTCTGACTGACCCATAAATTGGGGTTCCCACAACCCCCTCCTCGAACTTCGTAATTTGTTAGAATGGCTCACAGGAGTCAGGCAAACAGTTTACCTCCTAGATGACCAGTTTGTTACAAAGGATATGAACAAACAGCTAGATGAAGAGATGCACAGGGCGAGGTCTGGAATGGTCCTGAGCCCAGGAACTTCTGTCCCCATGAAGGTGCGTGTGCCACCATCAGAAGGACGTGTTCACCAACCGCAGGCTTTTTGAAGCCTGCACTGTGGGGACTGGCACTGAGGCTTCCTCATGGGAGCATGATCATCACTCAGCCGCCTCTCCCCAGAGGATGGCGGCAGGGCTGCAAGCTCTAAGCATCTAACCATGGCTGGGTCTTTCCGATGGCCAGCCCCCATCCAGGAGCCACCCAGAGTTGCTTCGTTAGAACAAAACTCCTCTCACCCAGGAAATTCCAAGAGTTTCAGGAGTTCTGTGCCAGGCACAGGGGGCAGAGACCAATGTGTGTGTTTTCTGTTACCTCCCAGGTGTGACCCCCGGAGCCTGGCTTGGGCACCGACCTGGTCTACGTGCTTCCAGTCGCCTGGACGGTAACCTAACAAACTTGTTATCTCTGGAAAGTGGGCTAGTTTGAAATACAACAAAATGGATCGTGACAGTTTTATTATTTTGCCCATGTAATTATTCTGCAACGAGCACACAGCACTTGCGTAAGAAGCGTGTTCAGTGGGCCGCAGCCTCAGCCACGTGGGGGTGCCCAGCCTGGGGTTCCCGCTGCTGGACCGCAGGGGTGGGAGGCTGGCAGGTGGCACTGGCGACTCGGACATCTCCTAGGCCCCACCCGTTTCTGATAATCCACAACTGGCAGGATTGCAGACCCAGCAGCAATTTGGCAGGTCCGGCGTGTCCAGCGCGGCGCACACACGGACACGTGGGGACACGCGCTGGAGGCCCCGCCCGCCCAGGAACACAGACTCTTTTTGGCAAGTGGCGCCTAAAGTGAAGTCGGCAGGCCAGGAGGGGGCGCTCTGTTCATCGTAGCTCTCGCGGCTCCCCCCC